GTTCAGACAGAGACGTCCCTTGGGGAGGATTTATTGAAGGGGATATTCTGGTAAAGAGGAGAGGATAGAAGTTGATCTGCAGATGGGAACTAAAGAGAAACAGTGAACCAAAAAAGAGTCCCATTCAATTACATCATATGAAGGCAGACAACTAAATAGTGACACATTTTATAAGTGTTTGTATTCAAATGCTAGAAATCTAAATACTAACATGGATGAACTTGAGGGCCTGGTATTAAATGAGGATATTGATATAACAGGCATTACAGAAACTTGGTGAAATCATGATAATCAATAGGCTATGGTAATACCAGGGTACAAAATATATAGGAATGACAGAGTAGGGCAGGTTGGTGTGGGAGTGGCACTGTATGTGAAAGAAAGCACAGAGTCAAATATAGTAAAAATCTTACATTAATCAAACTGCGCCATAGAAGCTCTCTGGATAGAAACTCCATGCTTGAATAATAAGAGTATAGCAGTAGAAATACTACCAGCCAGGATGGTGATGGTGGTTGGGAAATGCTCAGGGAGATTAGAAAGGCTAGAAAAATAGAAACCCCAATAATAATGGGGGATTTCAACTATCGCCATATTGACAGGGAACATGTCACCTCAGGACAGGATGCAGAGATAAAATTTCTAGACACCATTAATGACTGCTTCTTAGAGTAGCTAATCCAGGAACGCATAAGCGGAGAGACAATTCTTGTTTTAGTGGAGCATAGGATCTGGTCCAAGAAGTGAATACAGCTAAACTGCTTGTAATAGCGACCATAAAGTAATTCAATTTAACATCCGGGGCCGGGCGGGGGGTGGGGGGAGAAGAGTTACCAAAGAAACCCACAACATTAGCATTTAAATTCAAAAAGGTGAGCCACACAAAAATGAGGCTCGTTAAACGGAAATTAAAAGGAACAGTCACAAGAATGAAATGCCTGCAAACTGCATGGAAACTATTTTAAAACACCATAACAGCCTCAAACTAAATGTAAACCCCAAATCAAAAAAGAAAGAAAGGGGGCCAAAAATGCCACCATGGCTTAACAACAGAGTAAAAGAAGCTGTTAGAGGCAAAAAACATCCTTTTAAAATCGGAAGTCAGATCCTACTGAGGAAAAAAGAAAAACGCATATACTCTGGTGAATCAAGTGTACAAATACAATTAAGCAGGCCAAAAAAGAATTTGAAGAGCAAAGAGCAAGAGACAAATATTAACAGCAATTTTTTAAAGTACATCAGAAGCAGGAAGCCTGTCAAGCAATCAGTTGGGCCTCTAGACAATCAAGGCGCTGAAGGAGCACTCAAAGAAGACAAGGCCATTGCAAAGCAGCTAAATGAATTATTTGCATCAGTCTTCCTTGCAGAGAATGTAAGGGAGATTCTCACACCTGAGCCATTCTTTTTAGATGACAAATCTGAGTAACTTCACCAGATTGAGTTGTCACTTGAGGAGATTTTGGAACAAATTGATTAATTAAACCGTAATAAATCACCAGGACCACCAGATGGTATCACCCAAGAGTTCTGAAGGATCTCAGATATTAAAGTGCAGAACTACTAACTGTGGTGTGGAACCTGTTACTTAAACTAGCCTCTGTACCAGGTGACTAGAGGGTCACCAGGAGACTAGCTAATGCAATGTCAATTTTTTTTTAAAATAAGGAGTCCTGTGGCACCTTAAAGACTAACAGATTTATTTGGGCATAAGCTTTCGTGGGTAAAAAACTCCACTTCTTCAGATGCATCTGAAGAAGTGGGGTTTTTTACCCACGTGAAGAAGTGGGGTTTTTAGAAGTGTGAATTTTTCACACCCTTGAGTGGCATAGTTGGGTCAACTTAACTTTTGAGTGTAGACCTGGCCTTAGAAAAGAGATGATTGAGCGGGCTGTGATAGAGGTGTATAAAATAATGCCTAGTGTGGAGAAAGTGAATTAGGAAGTGTTATTTATTCCTTCACATAACACCAGCGTGGACACCCGATGAAACTAAATAGGCAGCAGATTTACAACTAATGTAAGGAAGTTCTTCTTTACACCACACACGGTCAACCTGTGGAACTCATTGCCAGGGGATGGGGGGAAGGCCAAAACTATAATTGGGTTCAAAAAAGAATTGGATACGTTCATGGAGGATAGGCCCATCAATGGCCATTAGCCAAGATGGGCAGGGATGCAACCCCAAGCTCTGGATGTCCCTAAGCCTGACTGCCAGAAGCTGGGACTGGACAACAGGGGACGGATCACTCAATAGTTACCCTGTTCTGTCCGTTCTCTCTGAAGCATCTGTCACTGGCCATGGTCAGAGACAGGATTCCAGGCTAGCTGGACCATTGGTCTGACCCAGTCTGGCCATTCGCACCCGAGAGACATAGTTAAGCTGACCTGAGCCCCAGTGTAGACAGTGCAAGGTCGATGGAAGAACGTGTCCGTTGACCCTGCTACCGCTCTCGGGCAGGTGGATTTACTACAGTGATGGAAGAATGCCTCCTGCCACTGGAGTGTCTATGCCAGTACCACAGCGCAGCTGCAGCTCTCCCCTCGTGGTGTCTCTAGTGTAGCCATGCCCTTTGTTTTGTTAAAGGGCCTCTAGCCTCAGTCCTCCATTGCCACCCACTGGCTGATTGCAGCAGGACCCACACGTTTTCCCTCCATTGGTGTATCTGAGATCCCGCCAAGGAGCAAGTTGGATCCTTGCTACCAGCCCCGGAGGCAATGGAGAGGGGCAGCGCATCTTCATGGTGCTCTAGTTTGGAGTCCCAGTCCCTCGGTGCAGGGTATTAAACACCCATGAATGATGATTTTGGAAAAGCCCCCTTGGACCTGACAAATGTGAGAATATTTGTGAACAGGTTCCTGCTCTTGGGGACCCCTGCGCAGCCATCAGGGTGTTCGGTTGGCATCGTGGAAACCAGGAACTGTGGCATGTTGCCAGCTCCTGTGATGTTATTGAACATCTCATAATTGATATTTCCCCGAAAGCCCCAGCTCCTCGTGACTACACAAGAACCTTAGCTTTCAGTTAAAGTGTCTGGGCCTCAAATCCTTGAGAGGAGCTTGAAAATATGAACCCTAAAGACTCAAATCTTCAGAAAGCAAATGCCAAAACCCAGTGTTCCTTGTTTGGGGAGGGTCCTGACTTCGGGGTTTTGACTAGGGAGAGAGTTGATGAAGGCTGTGCTAGGACCCCCAGACGCGGTCGGTCGGTCAGTCAGTCTGTCCATCCATCCAGTGCACTCAAAGCACTTTACAAACGTTAATGAATTTGCCTCACTCCATCCACCCCAGGGGCAGGGCAGGAGAGTCCCTTTCCCCTAGGCCTGGGGCGAGCATGCAGCATAGGGCAGGGACTTGGTTCAGGCCCTGCCTCAGGTACTAGGCGCTTCCTTCCCTTAAAATCTCTCTCTGCCCCGGGAGCAGCCCCAGCAACCCACCCACAGGGCAGCAAGCACCAGTGCAAACTAGCTGCGCATGGGGATGCTGCTGCAGGCCAGAGATGGGGGGCAACTGCCCCCCAAAACCTCCAGCCCTGCAGGAGCTGCACAGCCCGGTGCATGTGTCCCTGCTATAGTCAAACGGGGAGAGACAGGGTGCCATGGGGATGAGCCTCCTGTAGCCCCACTTGCTCCCCCACCAGCATCCTCTGCCCCTCCCATCCCCTGCCCCTCTCCTCTCTACAGCCCCCCAGGTACACCCCATCCCTCCTCTGCCTGTCTCCTCTCTGCAGCCCACCAGGAACACCCCGTCCTCCTAACCCCCCCCCCATCCCTCCTCTGCCCCTCTCCTCTCTGCAGCCCCCCCGGCACCCCGTCCCCCTAACCTCCCCATCCCTCCTCTGCCCCTCTCCTCTCTGCAGCCCCCCGGGACACCCCGTCCCCCTGACCCCCCCATCCCTCCTCTGCCCCTCTCCTCTCTGCAGCCCCCCCGGGACACCCCGTCCCCCTGACCCCCCCATCCCTCCTCTGCCCCTCTCCTCTCTGCAGCCCCCGGGACACCCCGTCCCCTGACCCCCCCATCCCTCCTCTGCCCCTCTCCTCTCTGCGCCCCCGGGGACACCCCCGTCCCCTGACCCTCCCATCCCTCCTCTGCCCCTCTCCTCTCTGCAGCCCCCCGGGACACCCCGTCCCCCTGACCCCCCATCCCTCCTCTGCCCCTCTCCTCTCTGCGCCCCCGGGACACCCCGTCCCCCTGACCCTCCCATCCCTCCTCTGCCCCTCTCCTCTCTGCGCCCCCTGGGACACCCCGTCCCCCTGACCCCCCATCCCTCCTCTGCCCCTCTCCTCTCTGCGCCCCCGGGACACCCCCCCCCTGCCCCCCCATCCCACCTCTGCCCCCTCCTCTCTCAACCCCCCCGGGACACCCCGTCCCCCTGACCCCCCCATCCCTCCTCTGCCCCTCTCCTCTCTGCAGCCCCCCCGGGACACCCCGTCCCCCTGACCCCCCCATCCCTCCTCTGCCCCTCTCCTCTCTGCAGCCCCCCGGGACACCCCGTCCCCCTGACCCCCCCATCCCTCCTCTGCCCCTCTCCTCTCTGCAGCCCCCGGGACACCCCTCCCCCTGACCCTCCCATCCCTCCTCTCCCCTCTCCTCTCTGCGCCCCCCCGGACACCCCTCCCCCTACCCCCCCATCCCTCCTCTGCCCCTCTCCTCTCTGCAACCCCCCCGGAACACCCCGTCCCCCTGACCCCCCATCCCTCCTCTGCCCCTCTCCTCTCTGCAGCCCCCCGGGGACACCCCGTCCCCCTGACCCCCCCATCCCTCCTCTGCCCCTCTCCTCTCTGCAGCCCCCGGGGACACCCCGTCCCCCTGACCCCCCCATCCCTCCTCTGCCCCTCTCCTCTCTACAGCCCCCCCCAGGAACACCCCGACCCCCTGACCCCCCCCCATCCCTCCTCTGCCCCTCTCCTCTCTGCAGCCCCCCCAGGAACACCCCCCCCCCGCTATCCCGCCTCTCTCCAGCCCCCTCCCGCGCTCTGCCCGGCAGCCCCTCCCCCCCGCCTTTCGCTTTTAGCCGGGCCGGGCCCTGCGCGGCCGCCGTAGCCGGGGAGCGGCCGCCCGGGCCATGGGGAACCTGCTGGGCCGCAAGCGGCGGAGCCGGGTCACGGAGCAGGACAGGGCCGTGCTGGTGAGGGGCCGGCTCGCGCCCCCCGCGCCCTTCCCGCCGCCCGGGGCGGGCTGCCCCGGCGGTGCCTGGCCGGCGGCGGGTCCCTGCGCTGGGCCGGGGCCGAACTGGCGCCGCTTGTCTCCGCTTCGGGCCCGCGGCTGCAGCGACCAGCCTGGGCCCCCGGCCCCCCCCCCAAATACAGCCCCCGGGGGGGGACGCCGGGCCGGCCCCCCCCCAAATACAGCCCCCGGGGGGGGGCGCCGGGCCGGCCCCCCCCAAATACGGCCCCCCGGGGGGCCCCCCAAATCGGCCCGGGGGCGCCGGGCCGGCCCCCCAGATACATTCCCCTCCCCCCCCCCAAATACGGCCCCCGGGGGGGGCGCTGGGCCCCCCAGATACACTCCCCCTGGGCTGGGCCCCCCAAATACACCCCCTGGGGGGCGCCGGACCCCCAATACACCCCCCTGCGGGGGCACCAGGCAGGGTCCCCCCCCAATACACCCTCTCTGGGGGGGCGCCGGCCCAGGCCCCCAGCCTGCAAATACCCCCCCCCCCGGGGTCTGCGGTGGGGCGCCAGGCTGGGCACACCCACACAGTTAATTGCACAGTCAGGGCCTTAGCATTGGCTATGATCACCAAGGTTAGGTGTGATTCTCCGTCTTTATCCACCCACACCTCGTTCTGCTTGGATCAAGATGGTGCATTGTATGCTGGGTCCTGAGTCGTTCAGGGACTATTAAATGCATGTGTATAGCTGCTCTTTTCTCTTTGCCCTGCCACATGTACAGTATGTACCTCTCCGGGAAACTCTTCCAGCTCACACTGAGGACATCCGTGCATCTGTCTGGCTGTCCTGGCACGTCCCTGTAGCACTTACCTTTTGTAAAATTCCAGAAGAAAGTTGTTTCCGACGGCTGCCAAGGGGGTAAAAACCCCCCCAAAGCTCTGTAGGTGTTTCTGTCTTGGGAGCCGCTGATGCGAGCATTTTTCTTTTTGAGGAGCGTGACATCCCAAAGCAAGGAGGAGACAACAGTTTGAGGGTTAACTTTTGGCATGTAACCACTTTAGCTGCTTGCTATGCTGTTGTCTTCTAGGAACTAGCCACTGAAGTGATTAGAAAATCAGGACCTATCTGGACAGATGGAATGGATGGCAGGTGTGCCTGACCCGGACTGTTAAACAGCAGTTGTACAGTTAAGCTTCCATGGCTTGTCTTTTAACTGTTTTTATTCCTCTTCTCCATTAGCAACTGAAACAGCAGCGGGATAAACTGAAGCAGTATCAGAAACGGATAACTCTGAATCTGGAACGAGAGAGAGCTGTCGCCCGGCAGCTGCTGAGAAATGGCAAGAAAGAGTAAGTGAGGTCCTGCAGCTTCTGATCAGTGGCAGAATGTGAAGGCCGGAGATGGCAGAGAAGACAGCGTCCTTGCAATACAAAAGGATCTGTGTTGTTTCAAACATCTGGAGTAAAGTTAGCAGGAAATGTTATTGAAACAGGATGTAAATGAGTTCAGGGGATACGTACGTAGGGCTTCTTTCTGTAGAAGGAGTAAGGTTAAAAAGTAGGATTCAGAGTGAACCTGTGTGCTGAGCTTGGAAGGCCTTTGCCTGAGTCTTTCAATGAGGGTTTGAAAAACTAGACTGTGGTCATATTCTTCAATATACAGCTGCCATCTGCTAATGCTATAATTTGATTTGTGTGGGTGCTTCTTGAGTGCACCAGTCCCTGCTAGGACCTGTAGTTCCCATGGGTTGCAGTAGTGGGTTCCTTTATCTACAAATTACATGGGTTCTGCACACTCCAGACATGTTAACAACACAGTCCAGGGTTGGGCAAAATTGGGCATCCCTGATCAGAAATACCTCTTTTCACTGAGCTTTACTGCTGGCGTGCTCTGCAGAGGAAAATTCTTAACCAAAACATGGGCTGGAATAGATTTCATGGCAATCTCTCTGTCCTTTAAGAAACAAAGCTTTTTATTTTACTGACAAGATTACAAAATTAATTCTTTGGCTTAAATCCTCCAATTTATGCAAAAAATCAATTTGGGAAGCATGGCTCAGCTTGTGTTTAATTATAAAGCCACAACACTTATCTGGGTTCATCTGCCTGTGGAGAGAATTCCAGGCAGACTTTGGAGAGCAGAATCTGTACTCCGGACAGAAGAAATTGGTGCCTTTGGATTTTGGTCCCAATTAGAACTTCCTAACTTCCATATCCATATCAACAGTGCCAAGTCACTGCAGAGAGCTATCACCCAGTTTAAACTGATATTGTCACCTTAAATTTGCCCTTTAGATTTAAATTTTATAAAGACAATCTTTTATAAAAGCTGACGTCAGTAGAAATATGAACACAATTAAAAAAAAATCCAGTGGAAATGATATTTTGATAGTGCGTAGCTCAATGGGGCCTTGACCTGAGTTCTCTGGTTGCTACTATAATACAAATAAACAGTCCTCTGCAGTTTTTGAAACCCATAAATTGCAGTACTAAGACCCTGAAGGCAAAACTATCTTAATTATTTTCTTTGTCCAAGCTGGGAGAAATGCTAAAAATAAACAGAGCACAATTACAGGTTTCAGAGTAGCAGCTGTGTTAGTCTGTATTCGCAAAAAGAAAAGGAGGACTTGTGGCACCTTAGAGACTAACAAATTTTTTTGAGCATAAGCTTTCGTGAGCTACAGCATCCGATGAAGTGAGCTGTAGTTCACGAAAGCTTATGCTCAAATAAATTGGTTAGTCTCTAAGGTGCCACAAGTCTCCTTTTCTTCTTAGAGCACAATTAGTGACTTGAGAATAGTTTTTGAGAATCCTTTCACTGTTAATGATCAGAGGTATTATGGATAACTGGTAAAGGAACTGGCATGTAGCATGCATATTTTATTTATTTATTTATATATATATAATTGTATGTGTTGTGATATCATTCAAAGGCTACAGTCAGGATCAGAGCCCAGTTGGGGAGGCGGGTGGTAATCTCCCAAAGAGTGTGCAACCCAATCTAATGTGCTGTTTAGTTAACAATGTCCTTTTGAGTTGTACGTTAGAATAGCAATACGCGCGTCTCCTTTCATTGTGCTTTTCTGATTAGTCCGTTGGCCATTAGGCTCACATCTTACGATGCTTCCTCCCAGCCCTCAAGTGTGTTAGAATTCCCAGAAATGCTTAGTAAATCTGCATGCTTAATTATAACATAGCTATGCACAAAGTACAAGTCTAACTGATCACTGAACACTCCCTAACAGAGCTGATACTCTTCCCATGGTGGCACTGTCTGGAATTTGTTGGTCCCGTATCATTAGGCATAATAACAAACCAAAGAGACATTCTCCAGGGCAAAATACATTTGAAGAGGTCTGCATGGCTTCCAGTGGTGACCTGAAATGCTGTTTTTTCTGTCCTTCCATTGCTCAGACCCCCAGCCCTTTCCCCTGTGCCTTTCTCCCACTGTGGCTGTCGCTGGTCTGCCAGCTGGGCACCATCTGCTCCTGCCACTCGCTTTCTCTCCAGTGTTTCCTGCCTTGGATTTGGTAAATCTTTGGCATTAAAATGGTTTTTTGGAGTGAAAGTGAAAAGCAGTCTGTCCCAGCAGAAGCCTTGTGAAGAAGCTAAAGTTGTCATGGGATGGGAAGGGCCCAGCAGGCCTGGCTGTTGCCTTCAGTCCTGATCAATAACTAATACTTTCTATCCACCCCTCCCCTGAAAAGATCTGTGGTCACATATAAATTCCTGTTAATCTGTTTGAGGGGGTTTCCTTACCTACTCCAGGCCCAAATAAGCATTGGCCTCATGTGGTCTGGCCCCAAGGCTGCCCATAACCCAGAAGAGGTCATCCATTGTTGGTTAGTGTCTGCTCCTGGAAGCCCATCTCAGTACTGGAGAGTGACCGGCTGACAGCGAGCACCGCTGCTGAGCTGCACACTTGAAGACAGCTACATTCTCGTTGTCTAGATACAGATTTGGCGTGACCCATGTTAACCCTCTGTAAGCTGCACAGTGCTCTTCCCCATTAGTGAAAGACATGGACGTCAGAGCACGCAACAATTTGAGTAAATGCTGGAAACTTTACACCATATTTAGTTATATTTTTTGGCTCTGCAGATGGCTAACCATTAATTCTAATTCACCATTAGGTTTTCTCCCCAGTCTAATGCTATGGAATTCCCACAGTTCAGAACTATCTATTGGTTACTGGCTTAATCTGTTCTTAAAAGAAATCTCTTGACTGTAAATGTTTGACTCATCTGCCTCTTTTTATCACCGTCTTGCTGATGGGAGTTGTTCCACCATTGCACTTGACGTGTACATTTTAGAAGAACACCTCATAAAAACTCTAATGTAGCATTGTTGTGATCTTTTTAGGCTCACTTGTTTGAGTTTTCTTTCTGCTCTTTTATTCATTCAGAAAAGCCAAGTTATTGCTAAAGAAGAAGCGCTACCAAGAGCAGCTGCTAGATAAAACAGAAAACCAAATCAGCAACCTGGAACGCATGGTATGCAAGAATCAATGAATCCCAGGGAATAGCTTATTTTGCGCAGCTGTTTAGGATGCATGTCCCTTTTGCCTGTGTGTAATTACAGCTAACTGCGCGAACACGAATGGCACTTAATGCTCGGCTGGTAGTACAAACATTTCATAGGACTGGCTACACCATGATTATCTCCTAACCTAGTTATGAACTAGGTCCAGTTTGTAATGTAGACTGGGCCTTAACCCTGTGTCTCATCAGTATGTAAAGCCTTGGTCGAGTGCAGCAGTGGAAGCCTCCCCTCCGTTTTCGAGAGACCATTTCTAGACGTGGGTGGAGTTCAGCTTCAGGGCCAGTTTAGCCTTAGGCCTCTGCTTAAGACTGCCAACAAGGGAGCCAGCTACTGCCCACTTCAGTGGTGGTCTCGATGCAGCCACCTGAGCGAAGGCATTCATTGTGCACGGGTGCTGGAACAGCAATCAGGTGGCTACTGCTTCTCATTATTACTGACATGGGGCAGATTTGGACCAATAACCGCTAAGTAAAAGGCTCCATATTCCAGCTGCCTGAGCCTTCCAGTCTGTTTCTGTACTGCCCATTGATGGGGCTCTGACTGCTCTTGACTCAGCTGTGACTCATGTTCTTACTCTAGGTCCAGGATATTGAATTCACCCAGATTGAAATGAAGGTGATTGAAGGCCTGAAAATTGGCAATGAATGTCTGAATAAAATGCATGAGGTAAGGGTGACCCAGAGAGCTCTGGGTGAGGCAGAGTTGTGGGTTTTCACATCTGTTCTGCAGCCCTTATATGCGGATTTTGGCTTTCTCCTCCCAGGTCATGTCAATAGAAGAAGTGGAAAGAATAATAGATGAAACCCAAGATGCTGTGGAATATCAAAGGGTACGTATAGAGCACATATGCGGTCCTGAGCAGAGATGACCAATCATGCAGTGTTTTTGTGATGTGGACTATGCTCCAGGCTGCCAGCTAGGCTGAGATCTGCCAAAACTCATTTCATAGGTGACCAAATTAGGGTTTGAATTTAGGCCTCCCGCAGCAAAAAGCCAGAGCAATAACTGTCTGTGGTGTGGGGTCCCCTTATCACATGCACTGTTGTGTGTGTGTGTGGTGCTGTAAGCAGCAGAGCTGTCATGCTGTGGTGTTCATTGGCACATCCGTCTCTCTCCTGCACAGCAAATCGATGCAATGCTGGCTGGCAGCTTCACGGAAGAAGATGAAGATGCCATTTTAGAAGAATTAAATGCCATTACTCAGGTAAGCCTTAATTTCATGCTCTAGTAATTACTTTTACCTCACATTTCCAAGTGGTAATCTTTCATCAGGGAAGGGGTTGTTTCCCCTGTAGAGATGGTAGTTGATTTAATTCTGCTGGATAGCCTAATTATAGCTGTATGTGTTTGTTCTATGGGTCATCTGAGAAGCCAGGCAGATGCTCTGTACTTGGGAGACACTTAGACCACTTGGAATGTTTTTAAGGGTTGTTTTTGTTTACACTGTTATTACAGACAGTAGTCTTGTGGATTGGGGCACTGCCTTCACTGGATGACTGTCCCACTTTACTTGACTAAGACCTTGACTGTTCCAGACCGGGTTCGCTGTCTCACTTTCACTTCTGTTCTCGACCCCTCCACCCTTCATGGAGTGTATGGCTGCTCCAAACTCCAGTCTTGAGGTTGTCTGGTTTTACCACCGGAAACCTTCAATCCAGTGGGGTTGTGGTGGTGGGACTCTGCAGCTGGCCCTGCCAGGGGGAAGCTCATGGCTAATCTGGGCTCATAATAAACATCAGTTGACAAAGCCAGGCCATGCCCTGGTTCACTGGACAGCACTAAAACTAGCAACTCGAAGCAGCGGCATCTCCTGCAGATGTGGGGGAAGATGCCTTTTTGCATGCAGAAGCACCTGTTCGTATAGTTTCCAAACCAGCTCAGTGCAGAAGCCTGAAAGGAGCTCTGTGCTAACACAGTGGCATGTGGGGTGAGTGAGACGTGACATGTTTAATGTGCTTGCAGGAACAGCTCGAGCTCCCTGAAGTTCCCGCTGAGCCACTCCCAGAAAAGATCCCAGGTAGAGTCTGTTTATTTGATCGTACGACTTCTGCTTCTCCTGAGTCTTCTCGGGGGTCTAACGGCAACTTGGGACCCTTCTTGTTTGCGGTGAATGTAGCGTTTCTGAATGTGAGCGGCTGAACGGTGCCTGGTGCAGTGTGGGCTTGGGCTGTGCAAGCTTCTTCTGACAAATGCAGCTTACCCTGGACCTTCAGCACCCCCATGGCTCAGTCTCAGTCCAGCCTCTCATGTTGTTCAGCCACTGTGTCTCGTAATCTGCGTAGTGGTCTTGCACTCCTACCCTCTGTTAAACCAGGCCATCCCAAGTGACTTTTCTCACCTGCAGGGAGGCTTCCTGGCTTAGCAGCAATGCATAACACTTGTTAGCGTGCTAAGCTCACCCCTAGAGAACTTATTGCGTTTCTCTCCCAGAATGTGGGTCAGGCTTGGGATTCTGTAATACCAGAAACGGCTGGGATCCCTCCCAGCTCGGCTGCTATCGCAGGGTGCTGCTGCTAGGGGGGATCCAGTGCCTATCCAATTGCTTCTCTTTTTAGGGTCATAAACTAGGCCCATCGCTGTCTCATGAGCACCGCGTCTCTCAGAACGCTAGGACCCAAGGGGCATGGTGATGGTTCTTGCCTCCAGAAGGGGCCCGTGTGCTGGCTCACCCCTGAGCATCCAGTGCAGGACACTGCACTGTAGGGGTTGTGTAGATAGCACACACAGCTGATGAGCCAAAAATAGGCCAGAATGCAAGGGTAGGTGAACTGTGACACTCCTGGGCCTTAGCCTGGCTTTGGGGAGGAAGGAGTTAAAATCCAGCCCCAGAGAAATGGGGCTCTGCCCTTGCTTCAAGGGAACCCTGCACTGGGGGTGAATGGGCTGGACTCGCGCTGGGTTTGTGGAGCTGAGTCTCCCACGGATAACAGAGCGTTGAGAGGTTTCAGAGTAACAGCCGTGTTCGTCTGTATTCGCAAAAAGAAAAGGAGTACTTGTGGCACCTTAGAGACTAACCAATTTATTTGATAATAAATTATAAATAAATAATAAATAATAAATTGGTTAGTCTCTAAGGTGCCACAAGTACTCCTTTTCTTTTAGAGCGTTGAGAGACTTGCTGTAAGAGAGGAATCCAGCCTCCTGATTGTAGGAACCAGGAGCAGTAAAAGCCGCAGGAGGTCTGGTTTTGGCTATGACAACTGGACAGTGAACAGGAGTCCGTCAGTCCATGCTGTCAATCGATAGCAGGCTGGCCACACCTTCACGTGAGCTCTGCTTGTAGAGGGCCTGCTCAGTCCCTGTGAGGATGCAGGCTGTCATAACACAGAGATGAGGGAGATCTTGTCTAGCCAGTGCCCCTGCAGGAAACTGTTTGCTTTGACCTTATGTTGTATGATGCAGTGCACTGGTCTTTCCTTCTCAGGTGTCTAGATTGTAGCTGTTACTTGTTAAGATTGTATTTTAACTGCTTGAGCAGCATGTGGGGCAGAGGGAGATGCTGGATAAATAGAATTACTCTTGCTGTATCGTTCAGTAGATTTCCCAGGTGCTGCTGGAATGCTCCTTGCCTTGCAGAGAAATGAGAGACGAGTCCTGTTTCTCTCACAGGACTTGACTCTCTATTTTCTCTTATTCTGAACTGAGTTTCTCTTTCTTCCACAGAAGCATCACCTGTCAAGATCAGGGCCAAGCCAGAACTGGTGGCAGCATCTTAATTCCACTCCTGGGGATAACCCCAAATAACTTCCATCATGGACAGTTTGGAATCCCAGCATGCCCTGGGGACAGGAAACGCCACAGTAGCATCCCAGCTGCGCTGGGCGAATGTGCTGGAGTGAGGTTTCCTGCACAGGGCAGGGAATCTCAGCAGATTATCGCTCTTGTATCAAGATTATTTTCTAGTGCTTTCTTTTTGTAATTTAAACTCACTCAGCTGCGCTGTCTCTGGATTAAACAGTGACTTTAAAACTTCCAAAGCCAAATGCTTTCTACAGGCTGCTTTCAATTGCAAATCTGCCTGTGCAACCAGTGCTGCCATCACTGATCTGTTAGAAGCCCCTGTGCTGGTCTTGGAACACTGGAGTGTTAAAAATGGTTTTCGTAGTCCCTATGTTACACTGCACTGCTAGGAACCCATCAGACCTTCCCTCTGGCTGTGATCCTGTGTCCCTCTGATCTTCCTCCTCTGGCTGGGGCTCCACTGTCTAAATCAGACTGTCTGGCTTGGCACTGGGATCTGAGAGCTCGCTCTAAGGGTATGGGCAGCATGCAGCCAAGTTGAGCCCAGGCATCACTTCTGACCTCGTGCAGGCAGTGACATTGTGGGTAGCGACAGCCTCTCATGCTGAAGGAGAAGCCTTTAGGGGCGAGGAAACAAGTTTTACTGCTTCAAATCTCTTGCTGCTCAAGCACCCTTGAGTGAGGTACGGCGAAGCTGTTATGACATTGGGTCCGGCACAAAAGTGGGTGTGGTGGGGCTGCCAGCAGAGAACGTCCTCCCATTGCATCTCATTTTAAAACTTGCTTACGTGGGAGGCCAGCGCTCTTCTGAGCTGGGATCTCTGTGTTTGCGACAGGGCAATTGGCCTAATTTACAGTAGGCCGCAGCAGCACTTGTGAGAGAAAAGTTGCTCTGCAGTGAGATGGAAAAGGCCAAGTCTTCTGCCAGGCCATGTGTCCGAATGTGTCCTGTTCAGATCTCACACCGTTGCTCATTTGTTTGTGAAAACCTCTGGTGCTCGGTGTCATTGAGCAGAACATACGTTCTAGGAATCTGATGAGCCTCTTAAAACTAGAATAGGGACTCGCTGGCTTAAGATACTGCTCAAAAGCTGTCCCCTGACTGCTCTTGTCCCCACCAGAGGTGGACTCATCTTTGAAACGTGCAGATCGATTGAAATGGCTTCTGCTTTCAGTTATCAGCACTCCCCATTCTGTGTCACGTATGTGTGTCGGGGTGTGTGGAAAGCGTGAGTGGGTACGAACAGGTGATTGATTCTGTACATGGGAACGAAGTGTGTGGTTTCTTAAATTATCACCACAAAGATCCTGTGTACTTTAATGTTCCACCTTTGGAAACAGAAGTGAAATGTGTGATTTCACTGAGCTGCAGAGGACAGCTCTGCACTTCCCCATGGTGCGGAAGGATACAGGACGGGGTGGCTGATGAATCAGACAGAAACATGAGGCTCAGGTTGCAAAGCCTGAATGGTGCTTACTCTTGGTCCTGAACTGACCTTGTGTTCACAGAAACTTTTGTCCCTGGGCTGGTAGCTTGCATCTGGGTTTATCTGTCCTTGGAAACCAGTTTGCTGTGCTGGATGTCTGCAACCTTGGCTTGTCAGCCTGAGCAATGCCTGCCTGCCAGCCAACAGTGCTTGGCATGCTGTCCCTTTCTTGAAGACACACCCTTCAATTGACCCTCTCTGCAATGGGGCACTGAGATGGAAGATAGCTAGAGAGCCCTTTGGGTGCTGCTAGGTGAATGCTTCTGGGGGAATATGCGACTTGGTGCTAGACAATAAATATTTCCAGGGGCTGTGCCGCTTCCCAGTAGCAAAGGGTCAACAACAAAAGTACTCCTTTAAAATCCTGTTTTCCCTGATTCGGGGTGTGTGGAACTCCAGGGGCTGGGCTTTGAGCTGTCTCACTCCTGCGAGAGATGGAAGAGTCCTCTAGGTGGCAGGCCCCTTGGAACTCGATATTTCCAGGCTTTTAGTAGTGGATCCCTATTTGTGTTTTCCAGCAAAGCCAAGGCACAAATTGGTGAGGGATCTTGCAGCACCCTCACAGCAGCTGGAGCCCTCCAGAGGACTCTGCTTTTCGTGGTGAAAGTGGCACTGCTGTTCAGTGTCATTTAACCTCGATCTTTCTGGAACCAACTGATCAGGGCTAAAATGTTCCCCTTTCTGTCTGTGTGTGTCATCTTAGTCCTCTTTGGGGCCACCATGGAACTGGCCCTTAAGCCAGGCTTTGACAGGCAAGAGCTAAAGTGGGTGAGTCAGCTCTTTATTCCCCCACCCGCCCCATTTATTTTAAAAATAGACCTTTTTGCTGCCAGTTCAAGCCTTTGAATGTCATGCAGTATGCATGTTTTCAGGGTTGTTGTCATCGTGTTGGTCCCAGGATATGAGAGAGACAAGATGGGTATGGGAATCTCTTACTGGACCAATTTCTGGTGGTGAGAGAGATGGTTTTGAGCCAGACAGTGCTCTTCTTAAGGTCTGAGAGCGGTGCTCAGAGTGTCACAGCTAAGTCCAAGGTGGAAGGGATGGTTTAGCATAAGCAGTTAACACATGTTGTGAGAGACCATTCCTATTACAGCAAAGGTGTTAACAGGCCAGGTCACTTTGAATGGTCTCTTACAATAGGTTTAGCATAAGCAGTTATCTGTTCCACTTGACATTTAGCTGTGATACTCAGAGGACCTTTCCCAGACCTGAGGAAGAGCTCAGTGTAAGCTTGAAAGAGTCTCTCTCACCACCAGAAGCTGGTCCAATAAAACAGTGGTTCCCTTTTTTTCATTTGGGGACCCCTAAAATTTTTGAATGGAGGTGCAGACCCCTTTGGCAGTCTATTGTCTGTATGTATAGTTAAATTCTGTTCAGTCAGTTTTCAGTCTGTCTTTTGCAGACCCCTTAGACGTTGCCATGGCCCCCCAAGGGGTCCGCAGAGCACAGGTTGAGACCTACTGCACTAAAAGACCCTCATGCACCTTGTCGCTGCAATATGCACGTTCTCCACCAGAGGGAGCTCTGTCCTCACAGGCTCAGGTGTTTAACCTTTCTTTTGAAGAACACGTTCTGTATGTACCATTTAATCCCCCACTCGTGCCCTCTGTTGGCTCTCTGATTTCACCCTCGCTGGCTCATTCTGGCAAATCGGAGTAGCTGCTGAACCATGGCAATGGAGAAGAGCGCAAGGCCTTTCCTACGGGTGCAGTGCTTTGCCCCTTCAGTACTGTGAGCACACCGTCAGGCCGAGGTATTGCTTATCACCGTGTCAGAGGAGAGATGGAAACATGCTTCTGCTCTGACTCTGGGCTTTCGTGAATGTCTGCGAACAAAGGCAGTGCCAGCCAGGCTTAGGGGGATTCGCACTCCTGAAGTGTCAGGTGTCCTGAAGTGGCAGGCAGGGACCTAAATGTTCTGCTGTCCGCCGCGGTCTCTTGCTCATCACCCTTTTTTGGGTTCAGATCGCAGACAGGCAGTTGGGTTAGCACTGAAGGGGTTAATGCAGCATGCTGCATTCATCAAGGCAGTGAAATGACCACTTACTGAACTGCCAGCCGTTTCCTGTTTTAATCCCTGTACCCAACAGATTGTGCAGCATGTTTCCTTGAGAGGAAAAGCCAGGAGGGGTGCGTGGCCTCTGTGGTGTGTTATAACAATAAAGCCTTTCTAATGGTGTCACCAGTTCAGCTTCTGTGATCAGATTGTCATGATAAATGTGTTTTGAGTGACTGAGGGGGGCTTTCCATCTCCCACACAACCCTCCTCCCGGGGGAGAGCTGGGAAAGGAATGGCCAGAACCTGCACTCCTGTAGCATAGAGTAACCCCAGCTGGGTGGATCTTAGGAGCAGAATTTTTGTTAACAAATTACAGTAACATTGCCAAGACTGCTCTGTGGCTTGGGTGCAAACTGCAGCCAGGTAAAATAGGGGGAGAGAGAGCTGGGAGCGTGTGGATGTGGGGATCTGTGTATACTAAACCGTAGCGGCTACTGGCAGCTAGAATGAAGGCTGAGAAGGGGAAATCTGGTGTAAACCTGTTGCTTCAGCCAGCTGTGCCTGTCTTCACCTCCTGTAGGGTATCTAAAGCCAGAGGGGAGGCGCTGGGCTGAGAGCTGCTCTAAGAGTAAAACAGCCTCCCGTGTCCCTAGGCGAGTCGGAGTCTGGTGAAGGCGGAGAGGTGTGTGGAGGTGCCTGGTCTGCAACTGAGGTGATTCCAACATGGCTGAATGGGTGTGGGGTGAAAGTTCCCTCTTCCATGGTTCCAGTTTTGCCATGAAAACAAGCTCTTTGTAAGGGGCCCTCGATAAGAATTAACAAGCTAAGAAACAAATGGGCCAAGCCCTGCAGCTTGGGCTGCTGGAAGGGTGAGCTGCCAGGTTAGTTCAGACTTTCGTTAATAGCAGTGGGGCTGGGTGGGGCCTGGCTGGACTGCAGCGTGGTTATCACGTTTCCTACTTGGCCACTTGCTCAGAGGATTTTCCTGGGCCTCCCTCACTGGTGTTCCTGAAACAGTGAAGAAGGTTGTAGCCAGTAGCAGCTCTACTGCTTTGAACAGATGTTCATTGCCTTGTAATGCGGTGTCTCTAAAACCAGGCACATGCCCTACACCCCCGCCCCTTGGAGGGATAGAGAGCACAGCACAAGCCACAAACGGGGGCACCGTGGACCGGGCTAATGGGATGCAGCACATCGGGCTCGATGCGATTCTCCTCCCCGTCTGGGGTGGTTTGGGAGTTACACCCACTGCACTGACTGCACCAAGAGGCTGGGGCTGGGGGATCCTAGGTGCCTCCTCCAGCTGGGCCCTGGCCCAGGGCATCGTGTGCGGTGCTCTGCCCTGGCTTCTGCCTTTCTCTGCCCAAGAGGATCAAACACCCAGCGGCCCTGGCTGCTCTTGACCCCCAGCTGGAATGGCTTTTCCTGTGACTATTTGTCCAGCCGTGCAATAGTGGGGGATATGGATTTGGATCCATTCCTGCTGGATTTTACTTGGCCGGATATTTCATTCAAGCATCTTCCCTCCTCAAAGAAATTCATTGAAGAACCAGTGCTTGTCACTAATGAAATCCCTGTTCAACCAAGCAGCCTCATGCTGCTCCCTCTGTCTCTAGCACCCACACAAAGCATCCCCAGAGACTTCCCCACTCCCCGTGCTGTTCCCCTCCCCTGCACCACAGCCCTGGCAGCTTCACTGCACGGGATGTTTGATGAGTCTTTCCCACTCGGGACGCTGTACAGCAGAGTTAGTG